CCCCCCCACTCTCTACTCCACCCTCCTTCTTCATCGTCTTTACTTTTCGACAGCGTTCTTCCGCACTCTCCCGGATTCTCTTACCAACTCGATTCATAATTGTCGGTGTTGAATAAATTTCGCTTTGTCGCTGAAATAAGGTGGTTGCATGTTGCTTGTATGCAACGCAGTTCCAAGGAGACTTAACGAGCATGAAAAGCAAATACTCACTGTGGATTTCTTGCCAGAGCGTTTCCAAAACAGGCCATCCTTGCTGTGAAAACAGTAACTCAAGAAGGTTTCGATAGGAATTGCGTAGCAGTGCTTATTTTTTGTTGACCTGAGGAAAGATTTTGGTATATTATCCATCCCTACTATCTTGACAAGGCCGTGTGAACTAAAGCTGACCCAGAATAGAGTCAAGTGCCACGCGGGGGTGGGGGTGGGGGAGGGGGGGAGGGAGCGTAAGTCAAGGATCCAAAAGGGCCTCCAATTCTTTTGAAATTATTCCACGGACTCATATTATAGGCAATCTCTACAATCTGCAAGGAATTGTAATTCAATCTCTTGAGTTCTACAAACGTGAGTGGTTGATGGAGCGCTTGGAAAATGCATACGACTTCTTGTCACACTACTAATTTGCTTAGGCATGCTGAAAAGCTTCTACGAAGATACAAGTGAATACTGAATAGATATTCTGTGGAAATGACATTAAAATAGGGAGTCTGAGTATACCTTATTTCGAATCTGGAACAATCACATCTTCCGCTAGGTAAACACCGGATTAATTGAATGACTTTCCTGTGCGCATACCCTGGTTCGCCTATGATAGCCATAGGAATTAATGTCACGAAGACCGAAAGACCGTCAATAACGCTTGGGCCGGGGCCAATGCATGAATCCTTGAAATATTCATTGAGTCTCCTCCTTATGCATCTTTAAGTATTACTTATCTCAGCTCGGCGGATGATGCTGGCCTCGTGGAGAAAAAAATAAAAAGTTCTTTTATGAAACCTCCTCGCATAATTATAGGAGTGGGTAGGCTTGCCCTCAGGGTAAGCTTTCGCACAAAAAATCTATTCATTCGCTGAACTTTTACCGAAATTTCACAATTTCTCATTCACAAAAAGGCTGGTGTTTGAGGTGTGACTTAGGTACAGAAATCTGAGCATATTAGGACATCGGCCGCAAATAGAAGGTGCATGAGCGATTGTTGTCATCGACTTTTGGCAAAAGCGTGCGAGTTGAGAAAGCACTGTCTATTATTCCACCATGACGAAACGTTGACCTTCCACAAATCAATAGAATTTCTTGCCACTACAAGAGCCAAGCGTAGAGGTGATAGTTAGGAAATCAATTAGCAATTGTCTTCCGGATTTTCAATTCAGCATGATAAAAGAAATTAAAGTGCATAAAATCTGTCCATTTAGAAAATTACCCAACTTTGCTAATATATCGATTCTATCGCCTGGTTTATCTAGACGCTCACCATGCTTAAAATATTGCTTTCTTAAGGATGATAATACTAATGTTAATATGATCTTTCATCGTGAGAAAGAACCAAAATGAGGGGAGCGACTAGAAGTGGAAGGGATGGTGGGAGTCCAGAAGTAGGCATCGGGCCTCTTCCCGTAGTCGAAACCTTGAGTTAATTTGTCAAAAAATATTATCATCTGAACAGTAGCTCAATGCGGAATTTCCTATTTTTAATTGTCACCGATTCGACTTCCAGATTTGTGTATGAATTACGTCTACAGTAAAGCAAGTTTGTTGACAATTAAAACTAGCCCTCAAATATTAAAATAAAGGAAATTTGCCCTGGAAATGTTCATAAATTAGTTTTCCATAGCGTCTTAAAATNNNCCCCCCCCTGTTGTCTTTAGGCAAGAAATGCACGGCGGATTCAGAGGAAAAAGAGGAAGGAATGAACTGCGGATCCATGTTAGCTTACGTCTATTTCATCACCTTCTATCTCTTCTGCTCCTTTGTGGTGAGTTGGTGTGCCTAAGATGCAAGCCCCCCCCCCCCCCCCCCCCCCCCCCCCCCCCNCCCACCCCCTACCCCCCGATGAATTTTCCTGGTCTCTGAACTCTCCTGTCCACCCCGTTTAGATCATTAATCTCTTCGTGGCTGTCATCATGGATAATTTCGACTACCTCACTCGTGATTGGTCTATTCTGGGTCCCCATCATCTTGATGAATTTGTTACTCGTTGGGCTGAGTACGACCCCGAAGCGAAGTGAGTTGCATGCTTTTCACGAGTCTGCTCTCTTTAATATTTATAAATATTTCCCACGCCAAGTGATTACCGTTTCCTATTTTTTTCGTGCCTTTAGGGGCCGTGTTCGGCATCTTGACGTGGTCACGATGCTGGGAAAAATTAGTCCACCCCTTGGATTTGGGAGCATGTGTCCGCATACTAGGGCATGTCACGTAAGTTCTTCCACTCCTTGACTCTGAAGTAGAAAAGCTATCTTCCACTCTTCATTGCTGTTTTTGTTCGAGCATATTCTGGCACATGACTAGTGGAGTTGAGAAGTTTATTTATTTCAAATGGCAGGCGTTTTGATAGCTATCATTAGCCACTTAGCTGACTTCGGGCTTCACAGAGGGAAGATTAATCAAAGTAGCAGAAAGTCGAGGGGTGGGGAAGGGAAGAGCGATTCACAGACGTAAAAGAGGCAGGCAGGCACAAAGGTAGGGAAAAAGGTAAGATGAGTTCTGTGAAAGGAGTCGAATATAACAATCAGTCGGGTCATGGTATTTTGACGTCAGAAGTCAACTGCCAGTTAATAGACTTTTTTGCCGTATGAGTATACGTTGCCCAGGGTGCACCGCGTGGAGGTGTATGAGTATACATTGCCCAGGGTGCACCACGTGGAGGTAGCCGAATGAGAATACGTTGCCCAGGGTGCACCACGTGGAGGTAAGGTGTGAGTGTACGTTGCCCAGGGTGCACCACGGACTCTTTTGCCGTGTATACGTTGCCCAGGGTGCACCAGTTTGTTTGCCGTATGAGTATACGTTGCCCAGGGTGCACCACGTGATAGACTTACTTGCCGTATGAGTACACGTTGCCCAGGGTGCACCACGTGGTGCCTTATGAGTATACGTTGCCCAGGGTGCACCACGTGGAGCCGTATGAGTAAACGTTGCCCAGGGTGCACCACGTGGAGCCGTATGAGTATACGTTGCCCAGGGTGCACCACGTGCCGTTTGAGTATACGTTGTCCAGGGTGCACCACCTGGAGGTAAGTCTATCGTGAGTATACGTTGCCCAGGGTGCACCACGTGGAGGTGTATGAGTATACATTGCCCAGGGTGCACCACGTGGAGGTAGCCGAATGAGAATACGTTGCCCAGGGTGCACCACGTGGAGGTAAGGTGTGAGTGTACGTTGCCCAGGGTGCACCACGGACTCTTTTGCCGTGTATACGTTGCCCAGGGTGCACCAGTTTAGACTTTTTTGTCGCATGAGTATACGTTGCCCAGGGTGTTAGACTTTTTTGCCGTATGAGTATACGTTCCCCAGGGTGCAGTTAAAAGACTTTTTGCCGTATGAGTATACGTTGCCCAGGGTGCACGGACTTTTTTGCCGTGTGAGTATACGTTGCCCAGGGTGCACGCGTGGAGTTAAGTCTATCGCACACCCCATGTTGCAAATATGCGTGGAGGTAAGTCTATCGCACACCCCTGGAGTTGAGAAGTAATAGGTGAAGGCCTTTTTTTGAGTCCGGAGTCATAATCGTGAGTTATCGCTGACTAGAATTTCCAGTATCATGCTGCGAACTAGAACAGTCAGCGCTTGTCACAAGGGCTGAAGTTTGTCTTGGCATGCTTCAGTATGAGATGTCTTTTACAGGCGTTTTTGTTTATCGCAGAATAATACAAGACAGCCGATAATTGCAAGTTGTCAATTAGTGAGCAAAACAATTATAGTATACTCTGTCTTCCTTTTCTGGCATTTCTTACACTGCTAACTTACACCCAGATATCAACCCATTTTCAGTTGTTTATCCCCCTTTTCCAAACGTCTTCTTTTGTGTCTCTTAGTTAGTTGTTTTGTTTGCGTCTTTCTGAATGCCTGTTCGTTGGATTTACAAGCCAAGTCCATTATATCACATGAAGAATGCGCAAAAAGCACACGTTTTTTTTGTATGCATTCAACAAGAATTGAGCTCAGCAGATTAGAAGTTGGGACTAATAGGTGGGGCCTAACGATAGACAAGCAGTCACGAGTCAAGTCTCACAGTAGGAATTGAATGCCCACCGAATTCCAGTGTGTAGCACCGATGAGTAGGTGACAGATGCAAGTTAATCATAGACCGCTGACTCGAGGACCACTTAGGTGTATTATCTCATGAATTGAAATAATAATGTTGATGAAACACAATGGTCCTCTCGGATAGACTTGTGTTCGCCTCAGTCTTGAATTTCCAGAAGGATGAGATAATTGAAGTACCAACGTCAGATAGAGGTACTTGTGTCCCCAAGACTTGTGATGACCAAGATAATTGCTGTTCACCTTTCCCTAGTTTCCGTAAAGAATCATCGTCACGACATTCATCTGCGGAAGGTGTTAGCACGAAGAACAATGTAAGATATGGCGACGCATTCTGGCTTCGTCCAGTCATCTGCAACCTGCTTAATTAATGTGATTTGGAGCAGTCTAATGTTCACACTGGATGATTTGATCCATTCATTTCTACGCCCTATTTTATGGGGTTTGGACACACACACACACATCTGAATTCTACAAGAAATGACGTTGAATTTTTTTTCCCAACAAATTATTTACCTCCCTTCGTAATGTCGTCCTGTTTCAAAGTTTATGTTTTTGTTATTTGAACTCTAGGCATTTGGTTGAGTTGATAGCTTTGTTGTCTAATGGATTTACCTAAAAATGACTGCCAGTGTAGCCTCAATTTAATCAGTTGAAGGAGAGCATGAAAGCTGAGTTGATCAATGATAGGGCTAAACGATTTCCTTTAAGCAACTAATAACAAGTTCAGTGCAGTTTTAAGTCGGGTCGGACGTCTATTTTGAGTTTTAATTATTTCAGACTGTTTTGTTTTGGTAGTTTAATACCCTGTGAAATTAAATTCAGGTTAACACTGTTTCAAGTTCTACTTTTACAAAAGTACATTTGCTTGCCTTTCAATGCCCTAAAGTGGTGGGTTGGAGTGGGAGGTGGGGGTG